TTAACTCCCATGAGTGACCAAGACAGAATTTCTCCTTACCATATCAAAACAATATCAAGTAGACAAGAGATGAGAATATGGAAAAATATCAATTAGAGTATAAGTAGTTGATCCACTACCAAGTTCTCAGAATTAAAATCTTAGAATTGTATAGCAGGAAGTAAGAGAATTACCAACAAGATCTTAGACATGATCGGACAAAAAGAAGATGAGAAGCACTCAGGAAATTTACCGAGCTTGAAAGATTTGTAAGAGTTGCTGCTTACATAGGTGAAAACAACTCTAACCTCCTAACAACAAAGAATTGTCTAAAACTTTCCAAGTGCTTTTTATTTCAATGAAGACACTTTTAATTTAATAACATCCTCAACATGGTATTTTAAAAGTTGTACCAAGAGAAATTGCCTCTACTACTAGTACACTTTACTCATTAATTTTATTATCAGCAAGTATATTGGGAAGATGAAGTGGGCTTGCTTATCAAAATATTCCCAAAAAGAGAGCCAGTCATTTTGGAATGAATTGGTGAAATGGAATGGGTACCCTGTGCTACATTTCAACCATTTATGCAAGAATAGTGGATGAATGAAATATGTCCCTTCAGCTTTACACAGAGCAGATAAAACTTGCTAAAGCAGACTTGAATGAATCTTGCACTGATGTAGCATAATGATCAATTTCTACACAGCCTACAAGAATTACCCAAACATTGAATGGTTTGCAATCCTGGATTTACTTTAATCAGATTCCAAACTTAATCAGTTAATATCATTAGAGCATTTGTAACAGCTGCACAGCCCTTGTTTTGAGTGTTTGATAAAATGGTTTCACTTAGTTGGCTTCCCAAGTAGCAGTTGTACAGGCATGAAAAATAAATTACATTTTGTTATAAGCGGTTCACTGGTCACCAAAGCCGATGGCAAGTGATCCGTTGCTTTCATTGCTCAACTTTTCTGTATGATAATAACTTTCATCATGAATAACACTCCTGTTTGGTTTACGTTGGAGCAAGACTATTTTGAAATCAAACTGGCCGTACACTTTCAAATCAGCCAATATATAATTATTCGCCCAATTACTCCTCATTTGCTCAATTTATCGTTATCGTTACAAAAGCACGGTGTATGACGAGTTTACAATATAAGACAAGTACAAAATAGACTTGATGTAAATTCGCTGAAAGTTTGAAGAAGACTTAGTGAAATGCTCTTGAATCTAAAACAAACAAATAACTGCTGGGCAATACATCCAAGATAAACCTAAGTAAAATGTGCTGAAATTAAGAATAATTTTTAACAAACTGGAGGAGATATTAGCGCATAATAAGCTGAAATCCGTTATCTGTGGCTTGTAACAAGCTTATATATTCGAAGTAAGATTAGATGGGAGAGCCGAAACCTATACAACGCAAATGACATGAAATATTGAGCTAACAATGTAAGGTTTTACCTAAATAGTCAACACAGGTACAATAATTTACTCCCTTAACACAGAGTTCATGTACGTGTGATGTTAGCAAGTTACCAGCCACGTTCACGATTGTTTTTGGTCGAGCATGCCTCTAATCGAGGTGTACTTAACAGCGACGGCACCCTCAAATAGGGCTCATCAAAATGACAAGAAAAGCAATCATTATAATTCCTAACTTCCGATCAAAGCAATTTATTTACTTCTCAATTTTGGAACTACTGAAAACTCCTGAGAAACTTCGCGATTGCATAAACATTCAAACTCATCGAAGGTCGAGTGCAGTACACGAATCGTGCGTATGTTATCAATATTACTCACCTACAAACCGCAATCCACCGATAGATAACAAAGCCACGAGTCTAAAATACACCATAACCATCTCTATCACCGTTTTATGGTCCTAACAAGACTTTCGAAAATACGTTTGAACGTCACTCTCGATTCACCGATGCATGTTTTGCACTATTATCAGGAAACAGGGAAAACAATGCTTATCAACGGTGGATGCCTAAGAGAAACCTCGTGACCAATAAGAGAGCATTCTGGAAGTCATGTGATCCGTATTCGAATGACCTCAGCATTGTGGGAGTGAAAATGATGGATAAAAATAACAGTGATGAGCAAAATTGAATGGAATCTTTGGAATGACCACTTAATAAATTTATGACTCGCCCGGAGGAAATCGGGTAGGATTTTACAACCACGGTCACCAAATTAACGCTTTTAATCGTCGAAAATATTACAATGGACAAATGAACATTTACACTCAAGTTTTGTATTGAACACGGAGATTTCACGCGATGAAAACAGTGATCTTACAGGCGGGAAAGATTGCGTGACCAGGTATTTGGACAAGTCTGTAATATTACAAGTAATATTGCGACAGTAAAGAAAGTAGAATCCAACGGTGTCTAATATTGTATAAAGTTCGTTTTTCTTCTTTTTCTAATCGGCGTTTTATGTTTACAATCTTAGGGCTCTAGAGATCAGGGCAAGATTAACATTTGTATTGTCGGCCTGATCGCGACTAAGGGAGATTTTCCATAAAATTTTCATGCACTTTCAAGCGGAGAGAGGATAAGAATACAGCGAAATACTAAATAGCGGATGTTGTTGAATTTAGAAAGCTAATTTTAGGGCTAAAATTATTAATGGTTTATGATGGATTGACAAAAATTATTTGTTAGCCGTGAAAGGGTCAATGGTTTCTCATTTTGGACTCGTGGCATTTAGTTGACAGATTAGTCGAATGTTTCTGTACAAAAGAAACATCATTGACCGATCACGAATTATTCCGGAAACCTACGCAAATTTTAGCGCATTTCTAGATACAGTGTCCCGGAAACCTAAGCAATTATTTAGCACGTTTTTAGACACGGTGTAAGGTGCGAAATTCATCACGTCCCCAATCACGAATTGTTCCGGAAGCCTGTAAGATTTTCTGGCATTAGCAATCAAGGATCTGAAATATACCTTAATACAGGTCAATAAGATGAGATAAGGTGCTATTACGTCTTGAATTACTGATTAGCCAATTTATTCTACAAGATGGAAGCTGATAAGGCAGTCGTCCCGCCATAGCTGCATAGACCTTCTTCCCCGGGAATCCTCTAGCACGCTCATTAAAACAAGCAAACAACAAACAAAAATCTACCACTGCTGATATTTTGAACCTCCGATATTTCTTGATTCATAAACAAGTGCCACAGCGATTTTACAAAATTTGCAACTTCCCTCTTCACCCATTTTTTCGGGTGCGTCAGTCTTCTGCGGCATTCAGTAAAGTACAGGATTATGGTAGATCTAAAATGATTGTGATGCCAGCTATCTATCCGATTTTTAATCGGCTTAGCTTATTTAACTGCTCGTATTTTCCTGATTTCGTTAACTAAGTTCCAGAAAAAATAATTTTATTCAAAATGTTTTTGCTGAGTTGGGTTCGACTCAAAGCTGGCAGACGATACGGATTGATACTCGCGATAAGTTCAGTGACTTTCGATTCTACTCGTGACCCTTCGGTGCTTTGTCCCGTTCGGTCGGTCATCGATCAAAGACGAACGTCGCACTCGTGTTACAGTCGTTTGCAGTGTCTGCGTTTTACTATCGGGTGTAAGATCAGACAATTTCTCGCAGTCATCGTCTGCTCTGAGATGGGAATGGTTTTCTGAAAGTAAAAGATGAGGAAAACCGTGCACTTCTAAGAGACGTGAACAATCCAAGAAACAAAGCCGTGAAAGGGAAGAAAAAGTTCTACCGGGTTCATGGAACCTTGCCTACCGAAAGAGGAAAAACTCGTCAGGCTAAGCTGTTTCGGCCACAATTTCGCGATCGTCATTTAGAGATGAATTTCTCAACGGTTTATTGCAAATGCTAGATATCCAGGGAAAACGCTGGCAAGAGGAATAGCCTACGTTTTGACCTATACAACAAAAAACTGTGATCAAAGTTTCAAATTTTACGAAATCATTACGATAACACAACAAAGATACATATTTAGTAAATCAACATTTATTTGGAAAATTCTTGTACCACAAAATAACTTGGTTGAAAAATTGTGGATGGCAAGGTTAAGCTAAACATTCCAACTATCTAAAATTTATAAAGGGGTAAGTTTCTAAAGAAACTGTGGTGCTGCGTCGGTGGGGAGGTGTAACAAGATCATTTGGTTGTAAATAGAAAAAGAGAGATGGTAAGTTTTGAGCTCGGTAGAGAAATAAAAAAAGGTGTTTTTCGTCTTGTCACAAGGGCGGGACCAAGATAAAATTCTAAGTCCCCACGAGGAATCGAACCTCAAAGCTTCGGATTCCGCGCTCCGGTGTTCTTCCACTGAGCCACAGAGACTCTGTGGTGAGCGAGGCCTATTATGGAGTTTTCAAAATAATTTGGTGTTATCAACTCAACTGAGTTGATAATGTAAATTGGCCACCGCAAAGAGTTTCAGATCTGACGTTTTGAGCGCAAACCCTCCGTCAGCCCTTTCAGATCCAAAATTTTATTCCTATTTGTACTTGCAGTATTATCTAATTCATTCTTCTTCCAGACTTAGTCAACTTCTAGCATGGAGCATTCTCATTTGCCCTCACTTATAAAAAATAAAATTCAATGTTGGGGGATTCGATGCCAAACGGGGTTCTTGTCAAAGAGTTGGAACTCTTCGTCACACAGATCGATTTCCTTCCCCGCGTGAACTTTGTTGCACCTGAAAAATCCGATAATTTACTCTAAGAGAGAATGAAGCTCGGAACATTATCTTAACTTCAATCGACAGACAAATTCCTCTTGAAAATAACGCAAAATTACTATTTTGTCTCTCTGCCTTATCCTTGACACCTTTAAACGAAAAAGTGAAGCCACATAACAATTTTTTAGTTTCATTTCAAACAGTTGCTGACGCCGGATCAAAAAGCAAACATGAGCAAAACATAAAAAACAATACACTTGTAACCTTCTCGAGAGATAACGTAATCTAAAATTTGCGTAAAATCACTGATTTCCAAGCTTGTCATTTACAATCCAATTTCAATTTCCTCCACCCGTAACCAGCCATGTTCCTTTTCAGATCATTCGTACCTCTATAAACTATAATATTAAAATATTTCCATCTACTTATTGAGTTTTTTAACGTCTTGACGACTTAAAAAGTTTTTGAGGTAGCGGATTTCTTTCAGGCATCAGCCTGCAGCCACATCATGATATGTTGCTGAATTTGGTGCCTGGCCTCCACCAGCTGTGGAGGGTCTGACGGATTAGCTGGATACATGTTGGCGCAGTGAGCAGTACCTAGAACATTAACAATAAAATAATGACAACTTTCAGTAACACAAACACGAAGGACCAGTTATAATTTATTACTTAAGGGGGGTGGAGGTGAGAAAGATTTTGGGAGTCACATGGTTTTCAGGGGGGAACGGAGAGGGGTCAGTCTTTGCCAAAGTATAGAGGAGAATTATACAAAATTTACTCCCAAGTACCTGCCTATGAAGGAAAGGGGGAGGGGAGGGTATAAGAATTATGCAGAACTATTGGGGGGATCAGGTAAATTTTACTTTGACAGTATAAAAATCCTTCGACCCCGCACGTGAAAAATGCTGACATTATGGTGACTTTTCTCTAAGGTTTCATAGCGTCTACTTTGGAAAGAAAAACGCACGCATAGCTGGCTGTTTTTTTAATGCTCCCACGCTAAAATACTTATCTCTCTTGGCTTCACAGAAACTGATGTAAACACTGATCTCCACCACAATAAAGGAAAAACCTTAAAGATACGTTATAGCAAAACCAAGAACAACTATCATAACAAAAAAACGTGCTGACAGTTTTTCGAATGCATGCATATGGCTAAACGCGTATTGCACCTTCTTTTACACACCTTCAATAAAAACGGCTTGTTCTGTAGCAGACACATCCTTTGTTATACCAAGTGCATGCCACGGATCGATGGACCCATTCGGGAAAACGATCTGATTTACAGATAAACAATAAAGAAAAATACCATTTTCACACATAACACTCTGACAAACTGTACAAATGAAGAGTCTGGAGGCTAATTAATTGTTTAGTTTTCGAGTTAGCCTCCCATTGACCAGGTGTTGGGAAAAACACAACACTGGAAATGATCCTGCAAGGATCCCTCGACCTGGAGTCCAACGCAGTAACCGCTTAGCAACCGCGTCTTCCGAAGCATAATGGTCACAAAAATGAAATTCAAAATTTGTTCTACAATAACATCAACTGTGATCTTCTTTAAGGATACGAGAAAACGAATTTTGGTGTCTTTGTGGTGCACGAAACCCAGATGGAAATATGAGACATACATGTGTGAGATACCAATTGATCCGAGTTGCATGTCAACTGACCTTACTGGCGGCAATGCCATATCCTCCGTAGTTAGTATTTGTCTGAGTCACACCGCTTTGGATGTTCTTTTCATTAAACTGGGCACCATAAATATCCATGCATTGTTGAATTGAATACCTGAAAAAAAACATTTAGAACGTATGTCTTGATAAAGACAGTATTGGAGAACAGGTAGGCGATGTTATGTTTCTGAGATACTATATGTCCAACAGAAAAACACTGAGGAGAACAGTAAAAGTTGTTTTTCTCTTGACAACAACGTTTGGCGTCTTTGATACATAAATGGATCTGATTGTGGTTAAAGAGTTCGTGACGCGCTTTTCCATCGAGTGTCAAAAAACCAAAACCAAAGCTGTCGCAACAGCTAATCAGAAGAAAGGAAAATACCTTTACGAGCCAATGAGAGCTCAAGTAAAAGCAAGCTAACTACCTAAAGTGCGGGAAAACGCGGGCGACCAAGTCGTGATTGGTTTTAATTTTGCATTTATTTGGTTGAGAGAGAGTGGTGCGGGTGTTGCAGACCAATCAAAGAGCGAAACCAATGCAATTTGGATAACTTCCCAACACTCAATTGAAAATTAATCCATTACATTTTTAACTAGCAGTCATTATTATGAAGCCAGGACATTTAGGTGCGTTGAGAGGAATTTCTTTCAAGCACACCGAGATTCTATCTTGATATGATGTATGTCTTTGTTTTTTTCGGTAAATACTGTACTGCTATCATGTACATACTTCAAAGGGAATAGATCTCCAAACGGCTGCTTCTCAGAGTCTGAGGTCTGATAAAACCCAAATTCTGTGCATGTCTGATACATCCATTGGCGACCTGGTTAACAACATAAAAAAGCTTTTAACAAAATAAGATAAATAAAGAACCAAAATAACACGACTTTTGTAAATATTCTTCTTTAAAAAGAAAAGCGCGAAAACACACAACTTTCGTGCGCTGTTGTCGGGTATTTTTGAAGTTCTCCACTTCGATCTCAGTGTTAAGAGGGAAGCATAGCAAAGTCGCCAGAAATAAAAATATTACTCGTCAGAAAAAAAACATTCGTAGGACATAAGTGTAGCCAAGAAAAACGTTTTTTAAGTTGTAGTAAATGACAACCATTGGGGCGGCTGTCACATTTTTTCTCGAGAGAACGACATCTTCCCTAACTTTTCTCGGAAAAAAAAATTAAAAAGACATCTGAGAAATTACGCAAATGCTTATCTCACATAACTCTGGACTAAAAACATCACGCAATGAGGACGTTACAGCTTTCTATGTAACCGCCGAACACAATTCGGCAAATGCGCGACTTTCTGCGCAAATTTTTAGTCGCCATTTTCCCCCTCTCGCCATGGCGACCAAGATAGTCGCAACTTAATTAGAGCGCTAATTAACTCTGTACAGCATGTGAATATTTTAAAATTTCATGATGAGTTTACCTCCTTCAGATGCACTGCTGCTCCAAGATGTGTTCTGTAAAGCTACTATTAAATTCTTGTAGTTTGAATCAAGGCATTGTTCGTGGTATGTGTGAAGCATCAGCGAGTTCACTTTAGCATAACGAGCTAACGGAGCTCCGATGCCTTCGTCATTCATGATGCCACACAATGTTCTAATTGTAATGTTAGTACCGATGGCACCCTTAAAAAAAAGCATCAGAGTAGAATTATAACATTCGTCACGCACCACTGCAATGGCTTAAACTACAGTTAACTTACACCAATCTATTGTGCGTCGATCGATTAGAAGCTTCCACTCCC